GAATACACACAGACTTTGAGCAGACTTGAATCAAGCTTGATGCATTCAGACGCGGTGTCGGGGCGCGGCGTTCAGATTTCAAGTTAGTGTTCTTCATAATAACGTAGCCCCCGCTCCCACATCATTTTTTTTAGATCTGACAACGGGGAATAGTGCGTGTGCAGCTCCATCGGAGAAATGGAAAAAGCTTATTTGGGAACTGATAGAAATTCGAAAAAAAAAAAAATCACTAATCACGCGCGTGTATGACACAACAACTTGGAGAAGATTCGTCAGTACGTTTTCTTGCATTCGAGTATAATTTAAATTAAGCGAGAGTCGAAATGCAATGCGCGATTTCGAACAGCGAAATAAATAACGTCGTACAAAAGCGCGGTATGTTGTAAGGATGAGCGTAATGTACGAGTCTCACGTTCGCAGATATCGCGCGCGCACGCTCGTATATCAGATAATTCGGTGCAACGAACATGCGAGAGCGAGTAAAAAGTTGTGAGAATTTTTCCAATAAATGTTACCTCTTCACCGCTGCTATATACTTCCGATAATTCATTCTCTCGTTATTGATACTGCCAGAAAGATAATTACTTCCACCGTTTTCATCGGGGTAAAATAACGAATGGCAGAAGAGATAACAATAGGGAGAGAGAGAGAGGAGAAAATAGATGTAACGATATATATATATATATATATATATATTATTTTTTAAACAGCAACACAGATTTCGCGTTCATTCTGGAGTGTGTGCGCTGGAGTTTCTTGAGAGAGAAAAACAAACATGTAACATTAACTCTCGCGAAAACTTTCGCGCGGTGACACATTTCCTTCGTATATACCGTTTTGACATGGTGCGCGCAAATAAAACACAAACTTATTCCGAAGAAAGTTCAGAAGATGTTTTTAGCTTTGATGAGCAGCCAGAGTCTGCATACGAAACAATTATCGTAATTAAGAATGCTCATGTGATATAAGTCAGTGAAATAATTTTCTGGAACGCGGTATTAACTTTGTGCGAGAAGAGACAAAAAGCTGTCATTACGTATGCGCGTTCGAAACCGTTGCCTCAATAAAATCGCCGATAAATTTGCATTCAACGGCAAGAACAAGGCGCATCCATGCGGGAAGAGATCACGCAAAAAGAAGTGTATTCCTGAATTTATGCCTCGGCGACGAGATCACGTGTTCGCGTTCGCTGAAAAAAATTCAGACCCCGTAATATCGAATCTTCCTCTCCTAGCCGAGAGAGAGAGAGAGAGAGAGAAAGCGAGAGAAAGAGAGATCTCGCAAAAGCCGTAAATTCTCGTTAAGGACGTTATCCACACGCACGGGCTAAATAATACTGGCAACTTCGGGAGAAATTACCGCGGACACACTACATGCACTCCCACCGGACACGACCGTATTTCGCTTCAACGAGCTGCAATTCACTGGTTTTCGCTAATAAATATCGTTAATACGCGCGCGATGTATACATTTCTCATGCCACGCAAACCGATGAAATCGATGAAACTATACATGTATAAAGATGGGCTCTCTCTCCCGCGCCGCGCCGCGCGCAAATATAAATAATTTGAGTCAAATTGAATGCACACGCGTATGTAAGCCACACGCGTGCGAACAAAGAAATATTGAAAAATTCTTAATATTAATAAATAATAATATTTTCTACGTCCAATAATTTTGACAATTGTAGAACTTTTAGTTACATTAGTTAACATTTATATACGTGTAAGTGTATATATATATAATATTTACTTTTTTCAAAAGATTCTATAAATCAGGCAATTGAATCTACATAATTTACTACAAAATACAATTGTATTACGCAAGAAGTGAACTGAATGACTGCCGTCATCGCGAGCACATCCGTATTTTCCATTCCGTATTAAAAATCCGCGTCGAATCACGCACCGTAACGTCGCGCGACAATGCGGCTATTAATCATTCCAGCCTCCAGTCAATACCGTCATCGCGTCATTTATCAAAGACTCGTCGTTCGGGAAATCGTGACATTCTGATTTTCGTTGGCACCCTGCGACGAAGGTTATAACGTCTGCCGGGGAGGGTTATTGAGACGCACCGGCGTGCCGTTTGAGTATCGCTCGGAAGAGAAGGGCCGGTGAACGGGGCCGTGCACGAGTGAGCACGGCGCGTGCTGTACTCCTTGCATCCGGTCGTGCGTTGTGTCGCAACATGCACGTAAACCGGCTGACGATAATAACAAGGGTTTGAATAATAGTTCTGGAAACACACAAGTTTTTGTAAAGGTGAAATTTTTCAAGAGTAAAAATACGCCGAGAAGTGCATATACACAGAGTTACGATAACACAGAAGATGCGTTATCGGATATACAATATAAGATGTATCATCGCTGATTGGAAGACGCCATCGTCTCTAATGCGTCTCGCGCGACATTTTATACTTGAATAAAAGAGCGATTGTGTTTTTCCAGCACAGCCAAATTCAATCACGAATATTAAGGAGAGGAAAATTAATTGTTTTTATGGCAAGGCAACGATGATCTCTCGAAGTGGTTTAATATTCGAAATTGTGTTTTTTTAACAAGAGAGAAAAAGTATAATCAAATGAAACACTGTTGGAATTTGTTACGTGATCTACTTTTTGTAACAAAATTGAAAAATCTATAAAAGTATTTAAAAAAATATCCACCAGGATAGAAAAAATTCTTATAGGTACTGCTCAACGAGATCAATACGAATCGTCGCTATATATCGGGTTCATATTATTCTAGATCAATAATTCTCACCCTTCTGTTATTGATGCCACCCTAAATACGTGTCTCGTAGCACGCGGCTCTATCTCTCTTCCCTTTCTTTTTCTCTCCCTATTTTTCCCGACCTCTTTTTTTTTAGCCCCGCAATCTTATATTAATACAGCTACTCGTCCTCTGAAAATAAACACCGAAAAGATGTAACTTCAACATCTAGAAAAATCCCAACTTTTGTATAAACTTCATACGCATCGTGATCGAGCGTCACAATTTTTTTTTTTTTTTTCAAATATTTTCGCAAACCATACAATAATGTTGGAGAGTATCGGTTTAATTAATTATTATTCAAACAAACCGCCACTTTGTTGTTGTTTAGCCGCGATCAAAATTTAATCCTAACGTCAACGCAAAAACATTCGGCCCCTCCCACATCGCACAGGATGATATTTTCGACGAAATCGAAACCTGATGAAAAAACGAAGACGCGCAATCCGCGCATACCGTGCGAATTCGCGCTGCCCAATTTCGTAAAGACGATCAGCACGGGATTACGACATTTAGGATGTCGAGAGCGCGCGGAGTACGCCAGGATGAATTTAAGGTATGTCCAGACGTAGGAAGTAAGGTCACGTTCTGCGATCTGCGGTCTGTTGCGATAATCGAACAAGGCTGAAACTTCGCACAACGAGGAAGCTTTCGTCGTTGATACGCCAGATGGAATTATACACCCGAGTCTCTCACTATTTCCTTTTCTCTCAATTTTTTTCTCGCTTTCCCGCGCGCGTTTCGTGTATCTTCCGGTTCATTAACGAGGTAGCCGGGTTTACCGCTTCGATTTCTTATCGCGGCCAGATGCTCCGCCGCCTCCTGCGAAGTATGCAAATGAGGCGGCTTACCCCTCGTCGGTAGTTAAACAAAAAAAAAAAAAAAAAAAAAAAAAAAAAAAAAAAAAAAAAAAAAGAAAAAAAGAAAAAAAAGAAGAGGAAAGAAAAAAAAGATGAATATGCAACGCTGATTAACTTTAAAATGTCGTTAAATGCCGGCGTCCCGATAAAACGGTTTTCCGCCACCAGCGGTCTTTCCGCCACCATTTTCTGCGCCGTTTCCTGCGGGACTTTGTCTACCAACTCACGTATTATACCGAGAGAGAGAGAGGATCCCTATATGAGAGCGTGTTTTATTACGGAGGCGTTTTTCGAATAACGACGATAAAAGATATAGTCTGTGTAGTCTATATTGTCTATTGTTTGTGCTTGCAGTCTCGGAATAATGAGCTGTGTATGCAGCAAACTAGCTTTTAATTTTCACAAAAGTCGCTTATATTACGCTACGTAAAGTGGTTTAGTACTAACGAAGTATTAAAAGCACTCGCAACATGTAAATTGTCGAAATTTAGCTGTCCGACTAATGAAACAGACATTAGCGAGAGGAAGAGGAAGTGATAGAGATAGAAGAAGAGAGAAACACACGAACTCTCTGTTCCGTCAACTAAAACATCACAAATTTTCGAGTCGATTCACGTGTGACTAAAATTTATCATAAAATTTACCTCTTTTTTTTTCTCTCTCTCTCTCTCTCTTCTACTCGAGTACTTTTCCGACGACGAGACAAAACAACAAAAGAAATCGCGCGAGAGATACGATAAGGAGTCAGAGATTCGCGATTTTCCCGCAGACTTGCACGTTCCGCGCGCGTAATACATCGTAAGAAATCTCTCCGAGCTGCTATCCGACGAGTTTTGCTTGCCAAGAATCCCACAGACCATCGAATTCGTACCCCCCGTCGCGCGCCACTCTCCGAGCAACCTCTCGCCGCCGCGTTATCTTCATTCTCGATCGTGGTGGATGTCGACGTTGGGGGTGACGCGCGCGCGAGAGGGCAACTTTAACGGCACGCAGGCAACATACACACGAGCGAGAAGCGTGGCTCGTGAGCGAGCGTGTGTGTGCGCGCGCGCACCCCTGCAACCCCCGAAGGGTGACGACGCTCGCGACGCTCCTCATGGCGGCGTCGGCGGAATCGTCGTCTCGTACACCAAGGGATAAGGGAGAAACGAGCGGCGCGTTCGTAACAGAGTGGGGTCGGTGGGGCACGGAGAGGGTTGCGCGGAGGCAACAGGGCGACCATCGGTCGGCCATCCGCGCAGTCGTTGGTGGGGACACGACGGCGAAGAGGTAGGGAGTTCGCACGTCGACCGGAACGGCCCCACCAAGTTTTATCCAACGATCCGGGAGGCTCGTCGAGGTAGTGGTCCGCGCCCCATAGCCGCGACAGCTCGACGAAGCGCGCGCTGCTGTCGCCGTCGTTCTACCGAGTTGCGCCTCGGTTTTCGGAGTTGCGCGTGAGGGATCGGAGCGTAGGAGAGATTTGGAGTAAAAGAGAGAGAGAGAGAAAAGAAGAGAGGGTGACGGAGGAACGTGCGTCGCGGTTGTACTACGAGGGTACACGACGAAAACGACGACCGACCGCGCGTACCATCGAGTACTCTCCCGAGGGCGCCACCCAGCGAAGGGGTTGCGGCGTGTAGTTCCGCGTTATCGGGAAAGAGATTCGGCGAGAGTGTGCTGTCAAGAGGAGCAGCCGCGGGACAAAAGCACAAGGGTCGCCGAGGGAGAGAGGAAGAGAGTGCAAAGGATCTCATTTAATTTCTGGAGTAAATCGGTGTTACGTTTTCTGTGTCTACGTCGATCATTATTCAGGTCGCGCGCCGGTGGATGCTCCCCGGAGGGCGCCGCGCGGCCTTCCGAAGAGAAACGAACTTGCGGGTGAAAGTGGCCGGAGTGCGAAGAGAGGACCTGTCCGCGGAAGCCTGTCCGTAGTTCCGGTTTAACTACGTCGCTGCTATAGCAGTACCGGTTCCGGTAAGAGCGCGGTGAACTGATGGTGTATGTAATTCGAGCGCTCGCGTACGTTGACACGCCGCTCGAATTTCGCGGTCATACACGTTGATCCGGATATATACTTGTTCTCTCTCTCTCTGTACCTGCCCCGACCGCTCGTCCCGGCTAGAGCGAGGCGGCTGTTTTGCCTGCGCCGGGGTGGAGGAGGTTTCAGGAGGGCGGAGAGAGTTTGCGTTGTGCATACCAGGGAGTGTCACAGGTGCGGAACAACTCGACTCGTAGGGCGACATAACGACCGCGAGGTCGTCGTCGTCGTCGTCGTGCGCTCCTGCGCAACATCGAGAAGAGAACACCTGGAGGATCCTGGGGAGGAGCCCTTTGCATTAGCACCTGGCGTATCGATAGCGTACGTATCAAATCGTCCTCCACCTGGGGGAATTAACGCGCGGATCAAGCGCGGCGGTGCCGCGCTATGGTCTCTCTCCTTAGGTTCTCTCCTACACCCCCAAACAGGTTATTGATTTTGCCCAAGTAAGGAGGCACGGATGTGGCCCGTACGCCCTGCGGCCTGTGCGACCTGCTCTCTTTCACCCTCATCCGCCCTCCGTGTCTCTCCCTCTCGTGCTCTATCCCTCCATCCTCGCTGTCTGTCGCAATCCCGTAAAGCACGATCCTTGTCCTTGATCCTGTGTACTTCCGAAGACGGGTGAAGGATTTTGCATCATCTTTTCACACACGCACACACACATCGCACCTAGTTTCTTTCGAAAATGTGGCGTTGCATGCTGCGTTACACGACTGTCATGGATGTCACAGATCGCGTTGCGTTGCAAACGGGTGCAACGTTTTAGATCTCAGATAGTCCGTTTCCGATGAGAGTTGGATCAAGGGACAGTTGTGTGCGGGACATTCGAAACAACATCGGGAACGCACGCGGTGTGTCGTTTCGCGCGACGTCGTTTGGTTGAACTTTCCGAAGATTCCGCTCGATATCGAGAATGTTGTACATGTCAAGTTTGGATCGGAACTGATGATGATCGCGTGTAGACGTTAAAATAAACCCGTGCTGGTCGGGTTTATCAGATCTTGTGCATCGTGCTGTGATGCGATAAGCGCGCGTGTCTAGGTATATATAGATATTCTAACTACAGTGATGTGGTCAACGACGCGCGCCTGTGTCAAAGCAACTACGTGGTTGTGACAAGAATCTTGAAGGATCTTTTGAATCTCAACGATGTGCGAGGTTTCATTTGAATGTGTCTTTTGAGAATCTCCGCATCCAGAGTGCATTTCAGCCAAAATCTCAGGGCGCGCACGATGTACAGCACCTTCTTCTTTGCTTCACTTTACGCTCTCTGTGTTTTACTTAGCTTTCTCTTTGATCCTGCATCTCCACGAGTTTTTTCTCGAATTGATCAGATATTTTCGCAAAGCTCTCTCCCTCGCTCTTACGCAGTCACAATAATTGTTCGCCTTAACATAAAAAAAAAAAAAAAAATACTAGTAGAATAATTATTTCGTGTAGAAAATATATTGTGGAATGTAGCACAGTTGGAGGCGCGGACACGGAGTCGTCGATCACATCAATTGCAATTTCAGGAGGGTCTTCGAGCCAACAAGTAAACCTGTACACACACACACGTCTGTTATTTCTTCCCGAAGTATTCAATCTTATCGATTGACGTTGACCAACGAGAAAGCCAGTCGTGTACGTCGTCGACGACGTATAGTGTATACAACTCTTACTCGTAGCTTTGGAATATTCATACAATCGAGAACGCACAAGTCGATCTTTATAACATTGTAACAAATATTCCGAATGTGATATATTCCGCACGCGTGTTAGATTTTTAACAACAGTCGAGTGTCACGCGTATTATTTTTTTTGAAGAGGAATAAGAAATAAAGGCATATTCGTAACACACGCATTTGTGATGGAAAATTATAGCTGCCAATATATTTATTTGCTTTTTGTTTGTTTTGTTTTGTTTCACGGAGATACGAGTCAAATTCTGCCATTGTATAAAAAAAAATTACGCGATCGCGAATTACGTTCATCCATCCGTGGATCATCGTTCACTATTTTCTTATGTACGTCAGTTTTTTTTTTTTTTTTAATAAAACTCAGAGTGTCTTCAAAAGATTTATTATAGTTTTCACTCCTCATATTTTTTACTTCTCGCGAGCAATGTCGCGCAATCAATTTCTCATTGCGAGCGTGCGACCGAATGATCGCTTATCGATAGATAACTCACGTTTTTGCTAAATGAAACTATTCTTTTATCGCGCATTTGTATTTGAAAAATTGTCGATGAAAAATATATCGTGCGCAAACATATTTATCATATGCGCGTACATAAAATTCATTAAATTTTTAGTAAAACAAAGCCTCATTTATCTGAGTGATAACAAAGAGCAAAAAGCTGTTTTCAGTTTCGTAATAAATATTTTGCGGATCTCGTGCGGACACAAGTCAGCAAACGAGTACTGTTGCAAAGTCCAATTATTGTTTCTTCATTTAATTTACAGACAATATTTCTTGCGTTATCTGAATCTTTTCAGAGTCACAGTGTATTTTTTTACATCATTTTTTCTCACCTTTTGTAAATACTCCAACGAAAAATCTGTTATAAATTTTCATATCATATGTTTTTCCAAACAAGAACGTAATCTCTTCAACAACAGCGCGTGCGAACAAAATCTCTCTTGTTAAATTGATTTTTGTGTGAGTTAAACAACTTATATACTTAACTTATAAAGACTTGATGTAATTTTATTTTAGAGAAATTTTGTCATGTTACGTTGCTGGTAATTCTTACGTCAATTAAATTTTCACCGACAAAGACTGTCGGTATCTCGGAATTTCTGAAGTTTTATAATAAAAAAAAAAAAAGAGAAAGATGTGTTTCTTTCTAACATCTTGTAATTTGATTCGCATCGGCGCGAAATCCTTATCAAACGTATATTTTGAAATATACTTCTCGCTTTTCCCCGGAAGCGCCATCGCCGTCTATATCGGCCATGCCGCCGTGTCAACGAACCTTACGTGGCACGTTGTCGCGAAGTAGCGTGACCGTATACTTCAGACAGCGGTTACGAGCAGATTCCAACTGACACCGGATCGATCCGCGAGGGAAACTTTTCACGGCGGGAGGCGACTGGTGGTGTGGTCTTTCGCGAAAACCGGCGGGCTCTCGTAGTGAATCAATAGAAGCCACGTGACAACGAACGGATCGTTCTGTCACGTTCCGGTGAAGCGCGGCTTCGTGAATTCGGCGAGCCAGGAGAGATCGATAATAATTCGCGGCTGAGGCCACCTTCTCGCGAAGGATTTGAGCCCCCTTCAACTCGCGATATAAATTTCCCGATCTGACGTTCGCACATTCTCGTTCTTGATTAATATTTCTGATATAAAACACGACCGTCAACGGTCGTTATCTGACCGGTCTCGATAAAGATATGAATGTTTCCTTGAAAAACAGTTCAATATTTTTAACAACCAGTTTGATAGCGCGAAGAAGAAAACTTTGTAAATTGGATAGCGATTGCGCGAGTCTAAATCATTACGAAACGCGTCGGATAAATATAATAACATTCGTAACTCTTGCACATATTCTCGCTGCTTGTTCACACAAGGAGGTTATTCAGAAATCCAGCATATTAATCAAAGCTTGCATGACAGATTCGGAATTTGTCACGTGTAATACCATAGAATTAAACCTTCTTTGCAACATTCGCGTTAGTCACTTGATGCAATTTACGGATAAATTTTTTAGACAAAAAAACGAGCTTTTTTTACAATTTGAACCATTTATATTTTCTTATAAATTATTGTGCGTCATCATTCAACCACACTGTCGTGCCAGGACCAAATAACAATGTATCTTAAATGCACTCAAGCGTTCTCGTAATGGATAGTTCACTTTAAACTAACAACCAACGCAGTTTCAATCGCAATCGCATTAATTGCAAAACTTCATTTTTGTTTTCAAAAGATGATGTTACGCGTAATCGATCAGTTTCTCGGAGCCTAAATCAATCATCAAGTGTACATAAAAAAAAAAAAAATAATGTCTCGCGCTCTCTTGCAACAAGATATTTTTTTCGTGGAAGACTTTTTCAAGTAAGTTCGAAGGAAGTATCGAAGTTTATTATACACCCAGCGCCGCAACCAGTGCGAAACTATAAATAAACTCGTGATACGGTAAAACAAACAACCCGAAGTCATTTCGCGTCCCCGAGGTTACGACGAAGAGGGTTCCTTCAGGCAGAAATAGAAGTAGAGAACGTAGGCGTGTCTGAGACATGCCACGGAAAATATATATATATCGTAACTATTTTTGAAATTTTATTTGGCGCACCGCGATAGCATGAATAGCGTGCTTAAAATATTTCTCGTAACGTAAAAAAAAAAACAACATAAAAATTCGCGGTGTGCGCGGATCATATCGAAAAATAGCGCGCATTTCTGTCTCTTTAATTGAACCGTTCAAAAGCTTCCGCGTTTGATACTGGTTTTGGTCTTTTTTCTTTTTTTTTTTCCACTGAAAATACGTTTTTATCAAAACAGCCGGAAACATTTTTCATATCACGTGTATACGTTAGTGACGCGCCCCGCACGAGATGTTTGGTCTAATGACAATACGCAGATGAACGATGTAGTCGCAATGTCGAGCGCAACTCTCTCGAGTTAATCCCGAAATTGGAGCGATTCGTATAATTTCCTCGCTTTTGAATGCTCCGCGAAATAGGATTTATCTCTAAATCCCCGGCGGTGCATCTCGCACGGGTCTCGAAAAGTGGCGGCGGCGGGCATGGCGGGAGGAACGGTCAATAGTCTCGAGATATAGCGCGTCGAGACCGCAGTAACTGTATTTCTGGGTGCGCAATTTAATTGCTTTCGCGGCGTCGCGACGCGTTGCATCACACACAGCGGGAGTTCTCTATATACGCGTCTTTCCCTCACACATTCGTTTCCGAACCGGAATACGGATCTGACCGTTGAACGAGAAAGCGACAATCATCTCGGACGTGGCCGCGACGCGCGAGTATCGATAACGATGATGATTGTCCCCCCCCCGGTTTGATGACTTTGCATGGGGCGTCCATTTTCTGTCGGAGCGTCGCTTAATTGCTTTCGTTTTCCCGACCGAATTACCCGACCGTTGTTGTTTTTCATCTCCCGCACACAAGTCGCTCGTATAAAACGAGTTTATCAATACACTCCCGAATATATCCCGACGAAAATGTCGATAATATCGAGCGACGCACGGCGACGTCGCAGCGGTCACTACGGCGGTCGGGAAATAAGAGCGTATTTTGCTTTCGTCGCGAATCAACGGCGCGAGAAGTGATGTATTTATGACGCGCACCAGATACGCGCGCTCCTGCGAATATAAATAAATT